CTCATTACAGAACTTTTATTTCAGCTTTAGGACAATGTATTCTGTGATGAGGCGGCATAGTGCAGTGATGGCCAGTAAGCCCTGGGACGCTTCCCAATCTGGGACCAACGCCTCAGACAGCTCCTCTTGCTCTCTTCCTCTGGACCCTGTACTGAACCATTTATTCTTATGTTACCAGAATTAGGGCTTTCCCACAGGGAATGTCTTTCATATGACCTAAGTTTAGGATCAGGGATGTCCAGGGAACTAGCTTTAGGGCACAGAAGAACTAATTAAGCCTAATTAGCATTAGGAAGTAAGCTGGCTTCCTCTGCTTAGTGCTTATCTAAGGAGTCACTCTATAAACTACTTGCTTTGCTGTCACTTTTGATTTCCCATTTAAAAGAGGAACATGAAAGCAGACTAAGCAAGACTGAATTAGTTAAACATGTATTTAATAAAAGGCAGAAGTGAAAACTGATCATTCTGGCAAAAAAGGTATAAATTCTGTTCAATAAAAGTATGCCAAAGGGTCAAAGTATCTTACTCAAGGTCAAATGGCTATTAAGTGACTGAGTTGGAACTGTAACCAGGTCTGCCTGCCTCCAAAGCACATGTTCTTAGCCTCTGCACTGTAATGCCTCTTTGTAAGGATGGTTCCAGAGAAGTCAAGAAAAACACAGGTGGAAGTTACAGGGCAAAGCACAGCAGGGATGGAGTTTTACTGGACAGCCAGAGCCTGTTTTACTGCCAGCAGGACATGGACAGCCAGGCAGGATGCAGATAGGGCAACCAGGCTTATAGGATTCCCTCCCTGTGGACTCCACTCTTTTGGCTGCTATCACCAGTCCTCCTTTCTCCTGGATTTCTCATTTATGGTGCCTGAAGAATGAGAGGCTATTACAGCTTTGTCATGTGCTGAGGGAGGCCACAGTCCAGGTATCTTTCCTGTCCCTTAGCATCCACAAGGGCCCCAGACTGACAGGTCTTCTTCTAGTATTTTAACAAGTGTTTAGGATCTTTTGCTTGACCATGTTTAGAATGTTTTTGCAATTTTGAGACTTGGTAACAAAAAAATTAATAATAATCAACCAACTACAAATAATGGAATATCTATTAACAGGCCATATGACTAAACACCTATAGTTATAGGTCATGATCTCTGGGACAACCTATTTTGTCTTCAGATTTTTCTCATGGTGAGTCGAAAATATAATTTCCTGTAGTATCCATATGGAGATCTTGTTTTCTCCTCAAGAATTCCATGAAATGGTTTTATTCTAAATTCCAAAAGATTGTGCTTATGCTCCCTCAACCTTTAGTGTTGGATGTATTCCTTATTTTGAGCAACTTCTCAATCCTGGATGCTTGAGGTGGAGAGGAAGATAAACAAATGAGAGCAACAGAAGGGAATCAATGATGTTATTTACAGGTGTTTACAGATGTACACAGGAAAGAGCAGCCAAACTCACCAGAATCTTGTTTTAGACCAATTATTATAGAAGGGCAGCCCAAGAGAGCCCTAGTCATTCTGGCAACCATCTCAGAATGTCAGTCCTTACCTTCTCCCACCCAGGAAGCACACTTGAGTGACTCTTACCTGTGGGCTCAAGCCTACCCAGTTTCAAAGCCAATTCTATGTAAGACATGTACACATCAAAAATCTTGTCCCACTAAGCGTGAATGAAATGAGTCTTCCTGGAAAAAATAATCTATCTTATTATTACAATGGTGGACCCCTGATTGACTTGATATCCTGTTAGCTATTCAGATCTTCCTTTGATTTTTGCAAACCCTAAATAGACAGAATATATATTTCCTAATAGTTTTTCCTCTTGGAGACCCTATGACTTCTATCCCCCAGCTCATACAAGACAATCTGGACATAATGGACAAGAGATGGTGTTCTGATGGTTGAAAGTCTTGGTGACGCTCTTTGGCTGCCAATATAATCATTCATTCACTCACAGGGTTAGCAATCATTTATTGTATGCTGAGTACTGGGTATAACTCAGAGGGAACAACTCAGATGTTTTCCTACTCTCACAGAGACCACCAATAATTGACATACTCAGTTATTTGTCAGTTGGGTTTCACCTTGATGCAAAACCAGCAGAACATGTTGCTCATCCTTCATTAGAGCACCCCACTTCTGTGCTCTTATATGTGTTAAATATTGATGTCCTCCAGACAATTATCTATTTCCACACAGCTTTGGACTTCCCCATCCCCTGCATCCATCTCCCTTATCTGGATAAGCCTCTTACTGATAACCTCTTCTCAAGTCCCTAAACCCTTAGATTCTGAAACTTGCACCTTCACTTTCTTTCAGTCCCCTGACTTGGGACTTATCATTGCTCAGACCTGCTTTTCCTCTAAACCTGTAAACACTCCTCTCCAAATCTCTGAACAACTTACCACCCCTTGAACTGTCTAACACTTTTCCTTCCCCAGTCCTTCCTCAGTGAAATCCCCTTTCTTGCAATGTATTTCTGTTCTCATTTTTTATCAGCCCATTTCCTGATCTTCTCTGTCTTGTAGGTCACTTGAGTTGCTCTCTCAGCTTGAACTCCCAGCTTTATCAACCTTCCAACATACTTTCCCTACAAGTGTCCAACTCTGAATCAATCAGGCTGATAATCTCACACACAACCCTTGGACTGTAGCTTGAGGGGACTTCACAACTGGGCACACTAATGTCACTTACAAATGCAGGTTTTTAACTCAATGCTGAAAAATAGTCATATCACTTGTCTTTATCCAGGTCCCTTTTCCTCTTAGTAATTATTTCAGACCTTTACCACTTTTCAGAAGCTTCCCATCCAATACAGTCTTCCTGACTCCTGTTAACTCACTTATCTGCCACTTCACCCCCAAACACTGAGACTATGAGGTATAGTGTTCTACTTTCCACTTATCATTGCTGACATTTATCTTTATTTACCTTCTATGAAATTTTTCCCTTCCAGAAATCTGGGGATCATCTTAAACCCCTAATTATCCCTTATGTTCACATCCAAATAGCAAAGTCTTTTTATAGATTCTACAGCTAATTCTCTCTCATACTCATTTCCTCCCCTCAAAACCCCTCACCACCTTGTCGGTTCAGACCCTCTTTGCTCTCTCTGGACCGGTGCAGTGGTCTCTCATGAGTCCCCCTGGTTTCAGACTTCCCCCATTCCTATTCCTTCTGCATGCTGCAGTCAGAACACATACTCTAAAATTCATAACATCTTACAGTGGCTTCTTTTGCGCTTGGGATAATGCCCTTCTGACTGAAAAACCCTCCATTTCCTTTCTTCATGTTCTTGACTCTGTTAATAAAATACTATATTGAGGACAAACCTTTCATCTTTATTTTTTCTCTCCTTTTCTTTCAGTTGATTTTCCACATGAGAGGAGGAGAAATACATCTGAATCTTGAATCTGGGTCAATTTATCTGCCCACAGACCACATGAAGTCTTTTCTCCTCCAAGTAAACTCAGCAGGGCAGGTCTGGCTCCTGAAGGCTGAAGGTAAATGCATAGGTTTTTGGATTCCAGTTGCAATCTAACGTAGCCTCATTAACAGTAAAGCTGATGTTTTGGGCCTTTTCTGCTTGTGGTGTCTGTTAGTGCATCATTTCAGAAGCTGGAGAGGGAAGGATGTGAGTAATTCACATTTACCAACCCATTTATATAGACCCTCAATGATCTGGATTGTGTTGATGCCTTCATATCATCCAGCATCTGGACCCTTCAACAAGAATGCCTCCTGACACCTCACCAACAAGCAGGCTGTGATCCAGCCATTCCAAACTACCTGTTGCTTCTTAAATGGAGAATGCTGTTTCATTTGTCTGCATGTGCATAGGAAACCCTTTTCCCATTCTAATTCTTCATTCTACTCATCCTTTAAGTCCTGCTTAGATGTCATCATCTCTGTGAAGTCTCTGATTAGCCCCAAGTAGAGGTGACCATTTCCTCCATTGGGTTCCCAAAGTTTCTTATACTTTCTTCCCCGGCAGTTGTTTTCACAAGCTTTAAAATTATTAGACCATAACCTTTTAGAGTGCCAAACTATCCCGTATTTATCAGTGTACTTCCTCCACCTATCACATTCACCTGGCACTCATGGCTGTTAAAAATTTTTTACTGAATACAATAATGTGCAAATGAAGAAATACCGGATTATAAATGAATGCCCATAAGGAAATAAGCTTTGTGAGGTGTGACCTGAATATAACAGAGAAGCTAAGATGTTTCATCATAGAGGAAATATTATTCTGCTTGAAACAGTAGGGAGTGATTTTAGCGTATGTAGTTGAGTACTTGAGTGGTCTGCAATTGAATAGCTCTGAGGCACAGCTATACTCAATAGCAAGGTGGGGGGACCTGGAAATACTGATGGTCTTCCTGCTCAATTCCTATCCCACCATATCTTAGAACTAAGAATGACTTGATTTCATTACCACAGGGACTTGTTTCTACTCAGCCTCCAAAGGTGAGCATTAACCAGGACAAGAAATGAAAAAGAGTAGATCCATGTACTAGGCCCTCTGCTTAGCACTTGAAAAGCTGGTTTGAAGTAAATAAAGCCAACCTGCAGAGATAGACACCTTGGCTCTGGATTATGGTCTTGACTCTGGATTATGGCACCTCTAAGGGCAACTCTGGATCTAGTCTATGGTGTCTGGTTTCTATATTCTCTAGGCACTTCCAGCTGGAGTGAAGGAATCAAAATTGGCCTATTGCCCCCATGATTCATACATAGAGGTCATGCATTACCTGATCTTCTAATGTGAAGTGGTCACATTCTTGGAACCAACCTTTCCTTGTGAGAACTCCTTCCCCTGTTTACATGGTGAAAGGACTAAAACAGAAATGGATGGAGCTGACATTATAGCAGAACCAAGTCATAACAGTTTAAAGTCTTTTTTTGTTTGTTTTCAGCATCTTTCTGCTGGTTACAGACACCTCCCTTCCTCTTGGGATATGCTGAGTTCAGCAAGTCCAGCCTTGTCAGTTCTGCCCCTGAGCCCATTCGTTTCTGGTCATTTGATAAGGCTTCTGCTGCTGATAGGACCTGCCTGCCTCTCGCCTCTCTCCTCTCAGCACACTTGCAGCCAAAACTGAATATTCCTGCTCTGGGGCCTCCTTCCAGTCCTAAATTTCAGCTCGTCATCTTAAGCTGCCTGGGTCATGGCTCTGCTATTCTCCTTGATCCTTGGTGAGTATCTCTGCCCCTGTTGGTTTAGGCTTCAGAGTACTCTGGGACTTTGATCAGGAGAATTCTTTCCCTGCCTAGCTGGTGCAGATCCAGGTATCTTTCAAGGAGAGTCTTCTCTCTGTTCTACCCTTTCTCTATATCTAGCAACTGTTATAAACCCAAAAGTCACTTAATCTGTACTCAGTTTATAATCTGCTTTGATTATCAAATTTTTTTCTACTTCCCTATATTTGCACTGACATATTTATAATAGTTTATCCCATTTCCTTTTTTACATTAATTTTCCTAGATGTACTGTTTATAAAAAGACACATAGATGGACCATGGGTAGCAGCAGGTAAAGCAAGAAAAAGAAGTATAACTGTAAGACAAATATCTTTATTGATCATATTGTTCAGTTTCCTCTCAAAAGTGTTTCGTACAATGTTTCCCCAAGTTTTTTATTATGTAATTAACTTAGAATAAATGGGGATTTCAAAGTCAAAGAGATCTGAGTTTTAATCCTTGTTCTTTGATTTCTTAGCTGTCTGAATTTTTAAATTACCATCTCTCTCTGAAATTTTGTTATCATCCATGAAATGAAGACAAGTTTATGTTCCTCAGAGGTTTGCTAAGAGCCTTTTCACAGGATGACTAACTTAGGGCATCTAACCATGACTTCTAGGTTTCTTCCTTAATCACATCCATTTTTATTGTCTTGATGATCCAGTGCATCACTGAAGTTCACTCTGGTCTCTCAATTGGGCACCTATGTGTTCTATGTAAGCTGCTGGGCATATTCTTAAACATCTGTACATCGCCTATATACCTAACAGCTAGTCCCACCCTTCATGAAGGTACTGTTGAATCTCCCAGGCTTACTTCAATCCCCTCTCCTTCGTGAAGTCTTTATGGTCTCTTTACTCGTAATTATTGACTCTGCTACAGAGCTTTTAAACTTTTGGTCTATATCACTTCACATCTGCATATCAGGCTTGGCATGTTCAGTTTCCTTTGCATGTACATGTTCTGTGTTCTTTACTAGACATTAGGATGTTATGTATAATATAACCTTGAGTTTTAGATAGTTGCAGACAAGCTTTCACTGAGTCTGAAAGTGGCCACGTCCTAAAGATTAAGGGATGGAGTTATTAACAAATTATTGGAAACCAAAAAAAAAAAGAAAATGTCCCAGGACAAGCCACTGAAGTGCTGTACTTGGATCTTCCTGAAAAGTTGTAGGCTGGAGGTCCAAAGATATTAGCTCCTTTAGAAATATCCTATAAGGTGAGGTGGTGGGGAGACAGTGAATTCTGCAGTTCAAAATGCCTCAGTGTCAGGGACCGCTGACAGTCACAGGGCTCAGGACTTTCTACAGCTTTAGGAGGGAGCCTAATATATGGAGGAGTTGATTCACACAGAGATACTATAGGAGGAAACTCTGATATTTTGAATATGTGCCAGCAGGTGTTTAAACTTGGAGGTTTGGAACTAAATGTGGAACTGCTTTCTGATCTGTTGACCAGGGGTCAGCAAACTTTAGCCCACAAGTGAAGAATGGTTTTTAAATTTTTAAATGGTGGGAAAAAGTCAAAAGAAGAATAATATTTTGTGACACACGAAAATTACATGAAATTTAAATTTCAGCGTACATAAATAAAGGTTTATTGGAACATGGTCATGCTCATGCATTTACATATATATAGCTGCTCTCATGATGAAGTGGCAGAGGTGAGTAGATGTAACAGGGACCATATGGTCCATAAAACCTAAAATATTTGTGATTTGGCCCTTTACAGAAAAAGTCTGCTGCCCTTGGTCTAAGTGCAGTGCCAGTGAACGTAGACAAATACCACCATTTTCCCCTACTTTCTGTGCTACCTGCCATGGCGTCTTTACCTTCCCCCACCAGTGTGTCTTTCCTGTGGCCTCCAGCATGCTTTCCTGTTGAGCCTAGAGGCTGTATCACCACACTTCTACTTCAGGCAGTATTCACCAATCAATCTGATTGACTAGAATAGAAAACCAAATCTATCCATGCCTGGGGTAGAGCCAACATCAAACGTAAAGGGAACGTGATGGGTCAGTCTGCTGTTATAGAATTGGTCTTTGTGGTTCCTAGCCAGTGTCCATGTGTCCATTGAGGCTGGTCATTCCAGAAAAGAAAGGTCCCAACAGGACTGACTTTGGAGGCTCTCTATCTACCACTCTACCTGTCCCACAAAGTTTGGTAAAGGTTTTGTAGAGAGTTGCATTTTTTTTAAGAAAGCCTTGGAAATTGACTACATGATCTCACTCACTTCCTTCTTTTTTTCCCCAGCTATTTGCACCGGACCTGTTCTCTTAGGTAAGATTTTGGGGATCTTGAAAGGGAGCCCTCGAAGCTCTGGAGAATGGAAATTTTGAAGTTTTCTGGGTCACAGAGAGACGCTCTGGTTCAAAAAAGCCCAAGTAGATTTCCTTTCTGGTTTCCCAATCCACCCACTCAGTCTTATATGAGTGGATTTTCACCTCCAGAGTGTAGAAGGAATTTGGGTGGTTTGTCCTGAAAGTGGACTCCTTCCCACTTGGCTTCTGTGGCCCAAGACTCTTGGCCACCTCCAAGTATCAGATGGCTTTGTTTCAGGCTTAGAAAGCACCTCATCCCTTTGGGGGCATATTTGGGAAATAAACTTCCTTTTGCCCTGCGAAGTGCTACCACTTCCAGGTCCCTCTACCAGCTGTAATGCCACCTTTGAACTAGAAATGCATCTGCTTCTGTGTAGCACATGGCTTGACCAGCAGAATTCAGACTGAATTTCAGACGCCACTGGCCACCTCTGTGAGGAGTCTTTGAGCAATGCACAAACTGCTCAACTGAAGAGAAAATGGGGCTGCACAGACAGAATGAGTCTCTGGGAGAGGAAGGCCATGATGGTCCAAACTCAAGGAAGTTGGTTGTGGATTATCAGTTTCTTTTACATTATCCCTTCAGTTTACTCTTTCTTTTGATGATAGAGGCTTCGTCAGAAAGGGAAAACTACAGACTGTGCTATGGATGTGGAGGATCCTACACCTTGCTGGATGCAATTTGATTCCTTAAGGAGTGCTGCTTCTTGGTTCCCAGTCCAACACTCAGATTACTTGGTCTTTTTTTCTCTGGCCTTCGGGGCTGTCCCTCACTGCTGGTGCAGGGGGGCAGCTGCTCTCTTTATAGTCTTCCCACGTTCCAAGATGTTTTTCCTCCACCCCAGGTCCCTCTCTGAAGCCCTCAGCTAACAAAGTAGGGTAAAGACAATGTCTAGCACACAGCTGCCCTGATGAGCCCCTCTACTCTTCCTTTTCTCTAGCTTTCAAATCTCTTCTCAGCCCTTCTCTCCCCTCAAGCTGGATTTCTTTTATACTTATTCTGTGTTTCTTCTTTACATATTTCTTCTTTCCTAGGAGTTGTTCTAGTCCTCCTCTCCATGGAAAATGAAAACCCATTTAAAGCCAGAATTTTGTAGCTCAAAATCAAATAAAATAACGTGGGCATGATCCTGATAGCTACTATTTCCTGGGGTATGCAACAATCCTTATCCAAACTCTAACCTTAGTTACAATGACCCAAAAGTTTTTTCTAGGTGGCTCTTCTTGTATTATATTTGTACTCAGATTCGTACACCTTAAACTTTGGTGTGACAAAATTGAAACTTCTCTTAGTTTTTTATAGGTAGATTTTGAATTCTATCTCTAGCCTCCATTCCTCATATTGCTTTCCCCCCCCCAAAAAGTTATGGAAGAAAAAGAGAAAAACAAAACAAATGATCAAACCAAACATAAACTTCTCAGTGCAGTTTAAAATCAGCCAGCCCAGAGTTTTGTCATTCAACCACTTCTTCTGGAGTTGATTCCAAGTCCTACGGAGTTTGTGCAGAATTGAGACAAGGTAGGCAGTGGGAAATCTGGTCCTCAGAAGTCATAATTCATTCACATAGGCATCTGGGTCATCCCATGTGGCCCATGTTGTCATATGTTATACTATTTATATCTCAATAGGCCACAGTCCACCAGTCCAAATGTGGCCCTTCCCTGTGCACCAGATCTCTCTCAGTCAACTGCCCTATTTTATGGAGGCATGGAAAATTTAGCTCTTCTATTTCATTATATTGCTCTGGGGCTGCAGGGGAAGTGGTGGGATTGCCTCAAGCCTATTAGATATAATCTCCTTGAGGGCAACACTGCTATTTTGTTCATCACTGTTCCCTGAGTTTATAAAACAATACCTGGAATCTAATATGTGCTCAACAAAAGTGTATTGTTTGACAGGCTCTTCCTTGGTCTCCCTACAGCACCATATCTACTCTATGTTTATAACCTGGTGGAAGGGAAAGAATTTCTATTAGTCTTTTCCACCCCTAGAGTTGTAGCTCGGAAGCAGGAACAAGTCCTGGATTACTCAGAACTTATCTGGAGGCTCTTTGGAATCTCCCTCCTATCCCTAATGCCTAGAATTTTCTAGACTAAGTATTGGGGTTCTGAGACCCTGAGGCTCTGACTCTTCCCTTGCCCACTGCTCTCTGTATTTCTTCTGAGTTGGGTTCTTGGACATGGGAAAATGTCATAGCAACAAGGATGGGTAGGGGTAGATCATTGATATTGAGAGAGAGTCAGGTTGATCAGCCCAAATTATATCAAGACACTCTGCCTCCATCTGGCTACCATGGGAAGAAACAGCATTATGAAGAAGAAAAGACACAACAGATATCTCTATACTCGTGTTCTGACTTGAGACTTCCACTATTTGACAGTATGACTATATGACCTTCATTTTCATGAGGATGATTTTCCTCATCTGTGAAATAGTCAGGTGGACTTGACGACCCCTATAGGTCCTTCCAATTCTGACCACTAGGGATTCTAAAAACTGCTGGATGTTTGACTAACCTCTTTCTCTTAATCTTCAAACTCAAAAACCAGCAGTCATATCTAGGTGTCATGAAGTGCAATTTCTTGGTAGGGTACAGTTAAGAGTATTGCAAAACAGAATGCAGAGATGGGGTCCTGAAGCTCTTCTCTCCCTCCCTTTTGACTCCTCCTTTCTCATCATCCAACTTTTCACACCCTCTGTGAATGGTGGAAGAGTTCCAAGATGACTGAGTACATGCCTGAGTACTCTCCGGGCTCCTCCCACATGTCCAGCCAATATTCCATTTCTTTGCAGGATCTTCATCCAGAGTGCGACTGGTGGGAAGCACCCGCCGCTGCGAAGGGCGGGTGGAAGTGGAAAAGGAAGGTCACTGGGGTGCCGTGTGTGATGATGGCTGGGACATCAAAGACGTTGCTGTGGTATGCCGAGAGCTGGGCTGTGGAGAAGCCAGGGGGACACCCAGTGGTATTTTATATAAACCATCATCAGAAGAAGAGCGAAAATTCCTCATCCAAGACGTCGATTGCAATGGGATGGAAGATACACTGTTTCAATGTGAGCTTGAAGACGTTTTTAATTGCTTAGACAATGAGGCTGCAGGAGCATTGTGTGAGAGTGAGTATTCCAGGGCTCAAGGACTATCTTCCAGCTGTTCATATCCTACATGATCACTCTTGTTTGTTTTTATTTCTCACAGTGGACTTTCACACAACGGCAAATTGGCTCTCTGTCCTTTACATCTCACACTTTCTCAATTGTGGGCCCGGGAGACAAACATTAGCCTCACCTAGAATTGTTACTCCTTCTTGGTTGACCTAATGCTTTCCTCTTAGTTACAATGTATATGAGAACCTGTTTCTCTCCTTTACAGACACATAGACATACACAGATCCATCAACCACTAAATGTTTGTTGAATAGTGCATCCTGTCTCTGGCTTGGGGTGGAGTTGTGGGGAAGAGATGACCTTGCAAAGTATAGTGTATGCTTTTAAAGTTCTCAAGGAGTCCACCGTATAGTTAGATAGACAAGAGCTGCTCATAAGAAACCAACACAACACAACCATATGTGTGTGTATATATATATATATATATATATATATATATATATATATATATATATAGTATTGTTGCATTCCTTTACTCCCTTCATATATTTGCTTTCATGTATTAATAATTTCTCCCCTCTCTGCATACACTTTCTTCCTCTTAGACTGCGATTTGTCTGTGAGACTGGTACATGTCTTCTCTTTGTCAGCCCTCAGTTTATTACCAAGGAAACAATCACTAAATCTTTGTGCCCTGATGATGAGGTCTCATTCCTATTTCTTAGAAAGATTGAGGATTTGGAGCTCTAATCTGGGATACTTGGATGATAATGTTGAAATTGAGCTGAAAGGTTTTTGGCCTTGGACCCATTGTATATGCTATTATTGTATTTTATTATTATTTAAAAAAAATCTGTGAAATGCCTCTACCTGCCTCTTGTGAGAAACAAATGAAAATTTTAATGCTAAAATAATTTGAAAAATAAAAAAATGCTACAGAAATAATTGATGATTCAACTTGGAACTGAGAAATAACATTCACTTCGTTGATTCACTCATCCATTCTTTCAGCAAGCATCTATTAGGCAGTGCTAAGCACTCTAGAATACATTGTACTACACACCAAGAACAGAGAGATGTGTACATTAGGCATGCATGCATTTTCTGGGAAGTCTGTGTTCTTGTAGGAAACAGACACTTCCTCTTTCTTTTCCCACAGTTCCAGAGAGTGTGCGGTTGGCTGGTGGCACCGGGGCCTGCAATGGGCGAGTGGAGGTGAAGCACCAAGGGCAGTGGGGCACCGTGTGCAAAACAGGCTGGAGCCTCTTGGATGCAAAGGTGGTGTGCCGGCAGTTGGGGTGTGGGAGGGCCATACTGACCAAAAGATCCTGCAACAAAGCTACCGAGGGCCAAGGGCCCATCTGGCTGAGTCACGTGTCATGCTCAGGACAAGAAGTAAGCCTTCAGGATTGCCCTTCTGAGCCTTGGGGAATGAACAACTGCACCCACGATGAGGACATGTGGGTTGAATGTGAAGGTAATGCCTATGAATCAAGAGACTAGGTTAATTCATGAATTCAATTAGGTGAAATTCCATTCAATCAATGTTTACAAGAACTACTCATGCATTGAATCACCATGCCAAAGTTACTTAATTGTGTCAATCATCAATTCTAGTTTTTAAAATGGAAATGATAACACCTGCCTTTGTATATGAAAGTTCTTTAAACACTATTAAGTACCATTTTAACATGAATGATTATTACATTGAATTCTATATAATAGGGACAGGGCACACCATTCCATGTATTTGTTGAATTCTTCAACTTTTAAAAACTACTAGATAGTCATTTATAAATATTAGATTTTTATAAAATGAATGGGGAAGTGAAAAGATCCTAGTTAAAGAATAGACCTCAGCCAAATGGATTGGAACCTAGAGAAGGGGCTATAATCATAGAAACGCAGGAGGAGAGTTTCAAAAGTACTGATGAGATTTGAATGAGGATGTGGATGATCTTCTTATTTTTTTCTTCTTTCCATGCTTCTCTCCATCCCCTGACTTCCTCCTGCACACCAAAGATCCTTTTAAGTTGAGGTTGGTAGGAGGAAACAACAGCTGCTCTGGGCGACTGGAGGTGCTGCACAAGGGCAAATGGGGCTCTGTCTGTGATGATGGCTGGGGAGAAAAGGAGGACCGGGTCGTGTGCAAGCAACTTGAATGTGGACAGTCCCTCTTTCCATCTGTCAAAGTCCGGAGAAGATTTGGACCTGGGAATGGCACCATCTGGCTGGATGATGTTCATTGTTCAGGGGAGGAGTATTCCCTGGAGGAGTGTGGGCACAGGTTGTGGGGATATCACAACTGCAAACACAAGGAAGATGTGGCTGTGATCTGCTCAGGTAAGTCCTGTATATGGAGTTCATGAGGACTGGCACAGAGGGAGGTGAGGAAGGGGTGGTGGGGGTGAACTCTGGGATGAGGGTGGCTCTACCAGTGCCATATAGCTGTCCATAGTAGTCACCTACTTTATGCGCAAATCAAGGGATATAATTGAGTAGTTCTAGTAGTGAATAGAATAATAATATAAAAACCCATACCATACAATTACTGAGTGTGAGAGCAAGAGTGGTTTTGAAAATTATTGGATCAACACCTTTATATTAAACATGGAGAAAGTAAGAATCAGAGAAAATAAGCAACTTACAAAAATCATAAAAAATTCCTTTCAAATGGTAGAATTGAAATGACCAGTCTTGACTTTTAACTCAGGGTTACTTCTCTTAGATGACCTTAACCCTCAAACCCTAATTTTAAACTATGGATGATGGTTTTACCCCATCCTATTTTTGTATTGTCACTCCCCAGATTTTAAATTAATCTGGGGGCATGATTCCGGGGTGGGGGGCTCTTTGGGAATGCCCATGAGAGAGTCTTTTCAGAGAGGCCGGGATACCAGCCCTGAACTGTAGACCTCTTCTACGAAGAAGGCTTGACTCAACTTGAGCCAGGAAATGCAAGTGCAGCCCCTGGGTTGCTGACTCAAGAGAGCCATAGGTCTGAAGCTCAGTTTTATAACCAGGGTAGGAAGCTGGTTGTGTGGGGCTGCTTGGTTAAAGACCCAGCTGAGGAATTAGGTAAGAGCTGATAGCTGATCAAGGATGTGAGGAGCAGCCAGTGCCTAGAAAAGAAGAGATTTAGCCCTGCTGCTGCCATGTTGAAGCTATCTAATTTTAGATAGTCACTTAACTGCTCAGGACCTCAGTGTTTTCATCTGCAAAATAGGGAGACACTTGTGCCCATTTGCCTTGAAGTGTTGTGTGAGTGTGTGAGGATAAGATGCATTAATATACATGAATACTGTTTGTGACATACAAGGAATCTGGTGGATAAGTCCCTAGAATACTGCACCAGATTCTGATTTGGCTCCCATCAGTGTGGGATATGTGAGTGATTAGGTTCTGGGAGGGTCTCTTTCCTATTCTGGGACCCACTCTCCTTTCTGTCTCTTTGAGCTTGAATGAAATAATCTCTTCTTGGCATATCCCCATCATTACTGTACATTTTTCTTCTCTTTACAGGACAGGAGCCTGGGCTTCCTGACGCTTGACATGACCCTCACAGGCCCCGAGTATCCTTTGCTTCCTCATGGGTCCTGATTGGCCCAGCATGAGCATTGGGCCTGCTGGCTTTAGCCACCACTCCCTCAGCCTCTCAGCAAGAGTCTGAACAATTGCTTATGCCTTGCTCTCTGAGCTAAACACCCCCATCATTGCCTGGAGATATGAGTTGTTGAATTCCCTCTTGCTGGGGAAGATGAGCTCCCGGTCATCTTCTCCTCACTACTGACCCCTTGGCATTGGTTTTGGCCTCTCCAGCCTCCTTAACACACCTGGGATGTCCAGGCCTGTTACTGTGACAGTACTGGCCATTACCAAGGCAAGATCCATGTCTATAAAGAACGTGAAAGGAAGGAGACAACGAAAGGAACATTTGAAAGGGTATGTGGTTAGATGATTACGTGGAACCTGAGGGAAAGTTTAGAGTCTTTTTGAACTCTTTTCCTCAAGTTTCAGGTGATCACAACAATTAATGACACCTCATTACTCTCCTATTCCTTGGTAAGAGTAGACCATTCTTTCAGTAGCAGAGCAGCATCTTGTAATCATAGACTTTTTCATGACGCTTGGAAAAAGATGTTGTGCTTCCTGAATGACCATAATAAAATACCTTTTTTGTCCATGTACATAGAACTTGCTGACATAATTGGCATTTAACAAGAAGAATCTCACAAATGCATTTTAGTTTATCTAAGGAAAAATTGGCTATGAGGCTTCCACTGGAAGAAAGGAAAAGAAGAGGCAGAAAGAGTTTGAGGAGGTCCAAAGTTGTGCCTCATACCAACAAGATAATATCATTTTCATTTTATCAACTCAGACTTTGGGGTCTGCAAGCATGAGGCAAGAGAGAACGATACAAAGGAGAGAATCAAGACAATGCTAAAAATCAACAACTTTAGACTCTGGGGCTAAGTTGAGTACCTGCAATATACCTACATTAATGCTATCTAATAAAGTAGATCTCATAGTCTCCACAGTTGCTTCTCTGTGTGATGTGCTCTTTCTACCCACAGGGAAGCAGTGTGCCAGCTTCTTGGTGACAGCCTTTTAGGCAGGGTTAGTTAAAAGAGAACATAGAAATATTACTCTAGTCAGGATGTGGAACTCTTTCTCTGTTTCCTAGAATGGGAAAATAAGTAGAGAAATCTAACTTCATAGAAGAGAAGAAAATGTCTTAACAGACATTTGGGGATCTGCTCTGTCTACTCAAAGAGATTTTGCTTTTATCTGATCAGTTCTCACAAGGCTTCCTGATTTTCCCCACAGACTACTATCCTGTCGCTCTCACCCTGTATTATCTGGAATCTAGAAGCCTGCTGATCTGCCTTGATTGGGTCATTGAAAAGCTCTCTTATCCTAGTAGAGTAGATCAGACTTGGAATTTCACAAAATAAAATTTGATTTCCCCTTAGGTTCTACATTAAAATTTCTTTTGTAAAATTCCAACCCAATAAAACCCCAGAGAACCAATGAGAGAAAAGTAATAGCTCTTGGTGGAGATGGTGTGAATCTCACTCCAAGAGCAAGACCTGACAATATCCTAATAGATAGTGTCAGTCGGTCCGATAAGATTGCGTCATTAAGGAGAGGAAATTGAGAAGCTGAAAGATGAAGTTGACACTGGCCGGTTAGCACTGTCCATAGAAGACGATTCCCTGACTAAAAATGTGTCTCTTTAATCTTGGTGTCCAAAGATAAAATAGCATATCAGAGCCTGAAGTGATCAGCGTACTGTCAGTGACTGCCTGTGTTCACAAATACTCCTGTTTGTTTCTTCTTCCCGGACATGCCACTAGTCTCTCCCAAGTTTCTCTTAGATGATGCCCCAGCCAGCCCTCCTGGCCCCTCCCTAGCAAGGCAGTCCAGTAAACTTGAGCTCTGCATTCAGGGGGAGTATTGCCCATTGGGTAGGTTAGGGTTTATGAGCTGGCATATGACTTGTCCTCCGAGAGCCTCTCCTGTGACCCTCTCCCCACCCTTACTCAGGTCCGGATTCCAAACTACTTTGAACTGTTTGGCATGTGCATGTGCAGTAGGTACCCTTTTAGCCATCCTGAGGCAGCCTGGGTCCTCCAGGCCTGTGGAGGTGGGGCTCAGCCCCACCATCTTCATAGTCTTCAATGTGGAGGGAACTCAGCGCCTGAAAATCACCCTGAGGTGGCAGCTAAAACTGGTGACAGTCAGTCCCCATTTGGCCTTGCTGCCTGATGGGGTCCTGGGATTCTCCAGCTCCCAAGCTTTTATCAGATGATACCCAAGCCAGTCAGTAGGGCTTGGCCCTGGCAAGGCAGGACAGTCTCCTGCTGCTCTGTCTTCAGAAGGAACATACACCTTTGTGTAGGCTAGCCTTTGGAATTAGCCGTATGCATTGTGTCCCCAAGCTCCTCCTCCTGTGAAAAAGCCTCTTCTAACCAGTGCCATGTTCCAGATCCCCAGCTACCATGAACTGTGAGGAGGTGCATGGGGAGTACACACACTTTCAGCCCTTCTTGGGCAGTAGGACCCTCCTGGCCCGTGGAGCTGAGGCCCAGCCTCAACCACTGGCATAGTCTCCAGTGTGGAGGGGCCCACAGTTTGAAAATTGTCCTGATTTGGCAGTTCTAAGTTGGTGACAGTCTATTCCCACCTGGGCTTGCTGCATGGCAGGCTCCTGAGCTTCTTCAGCAACCATGGCTCCCATGTGTCTCTTGTATGTAAGTGAGCCATGTGGCCAGTTCTCATAATGAAAGTGATTTATGACAACTTCACATCAAGGCAGTTAACGAGTTTGCCTTCTCCATTCTCTTTCTTTCCCTATTTGCTGGCTTGCTAGACAAGATTCCATGGACATAGGGGAAGGCAGGGCCAGAAGACGGGAGGAGCCTGGATCTCTGAATGACTAGATGGAGCCAGAGTCTCTCACCCATACTCTGCTGACTCTGTCATGCATAAGAAATAACCATTATTTGTATTATGCTACTGAGATGTTGGGTGGCTTATTTACAGCAGTTAGCTTAGACTACTAACACAGACATAAAATGTTTTTTAAAAAATCAATTGCTTTGCTTCAAAGCTCACCAGAAAACTTTCTGATGATCCTTTGACTTCCTCAATAGCCTCTAAATATCTAATATTCCATGCTAATCATGAAATGTGAGACCTGGCCTACTCATTTTTATTTTTACTATAAATTATTATATTTTATTTTAATATTGATTTTTTACAGTCTTCTGAGGCCTTTTTTTCCCCTAAAAACTATACCCGAGATGTCCATGGAGGGTTCCTTGGAGACATTTTGTGTGTGTGTATTTTAAGACTTTATATTTTTTTGAGAGCTGTTTTAGGTTCACAGCAAAATTGAGAGGAAGGTACAGAGACTTCCCATGTACCTCTTGCCCCCATACAGGCATAGCCTCCCCATTACCAACATCACTCACAAGAGTAGTACATTTGCTACAATCGAGGAACCTACATTGAAATATCATTATCCCTCAAATTCCATGGTTTACATTAGAGTTTACTCTTGGTGTTGTTCTATGGATTTGGGCAAATTTATAGACATGTAGCTACCCTTATAGTATTATACAGAGTACTTTCACTACCGTAAAAATCCTCTGTGTTCTGCTTATTTATCCCTCCCTCCCCTCAACCCCTCCTAACCACTAATCTTTTTATTGTCTCCATAGTTTTACCTTTTCCAGAAAGTCATATGATTGGAATCATACAGTATATAGCCTTCTCAAGTTGGCTTCTTTCATTTAGTAATATGCATTTAAGTGTCCTCCATGTCTTTTCATGGCTTGATAGCTCATTTCTTCTTAGTGCTGAATGATATTCTACTGTCTAGATGTGCCACAGTTTATTTATCCATTCACCACTGAAGGACGTCTTTGTTGCTTCCAAGTTTTGACAATCATGAATAAAGCTGAAATAAACATCCGTGTGCAGATTTTTGTGTGGATGTAAGTTTTCAACCCCTTTGGGTAAGTACTAAGGTGTATTTTTCAACAACAAATCCTACCCTGCTGACCACAGTTGATTAGTCCCATGAGTGGGCATCTGTCCCAAGCTAAATCAATCAGCCTTTCGCAGGAGATGGGAACTGTGATAGAAAAAGGATTAGTTTCTCCAAGTAACTACTTGTAACAAGTTAACTGAGGAGCTGTGTATGATCGTTTTTCATATACCATGCAGATCAGAGAACAAGAGGAATCCTTTCCACAGAGATACATGAAATGAATGAAACAGATGCACAGAGAGGAACATAGATGAGAGACAGAGAAAGAACCCAACAGCATTTTCAATTTCTGGTTCTTGTCTTCTCCTGGAGTCCAGCTGCATTCCTGGTCTTAGGTTCTATGACAAACTGCTATCTGTTTATAATATATATATATTTTTTGATTGAATTATATCATTGGTTTTTAGACTTCTAACCAAGATAACCCTAACAAATTTTCTCATTTTAAATTAATAAAGTGATAATTTACCAATAGTGTGTAAGGGTAGTTAGATAAGCCCGTTTATTAGTAATGAATAATTCCCACTGCATAAAATCAAGTTTACGGATCTGAAAGGATAAGGACCAGGTCCTATAGCAGAGGTACTGCAACAATATATTACCCTTGCGATCCTTGTTGGATAGATGATCAATCAACCCATTTACATAGGTGACATTTATAGCTCATCCCCTCTTTATTAAAACAGAGATGCATTGAAGTGACTTTATTAAGGTGGTGACATAGGTCATTCCAGACTTCAGTCTCACTCACAAGAAGACCAACTATCAATTATCCACAGACAAGACATCATTGTGAAAATCCCAGAGCCTGGGGATGAAGCTGAAAAAAACCCCCTGGGCCTCAGAGACTGAGAAGGACTGCATAGAAGGGTAAGAGGAGTAGTTTCACTTCCACTTCATTGCCCCGTCCCCAGGCTGACACAGTGCCACGTTAAGAGGGCCCCCACTGGCCCTATTGTTTCTTCAGTAGGAAAAGAGAGCCCAGTGTGGGCAACCAGCTACCCAGCATTGCAAGATGCTTCCCAGGGGGCCACTCAAATTTTTTCTCATGGGAATCACTGAGGGAATCTGTCGCTTTGACCACTGGAGATCAGATAGAGACTGGGAAGGGGGTGGGCTTATAGAAACCAGTGCTCAGATATTGGTGGACTGCACTCCTGTTGGCAGTGGCTGCCAAGTGGTGACCTCAGCCAGTGTCTCTGCCCTTCTGCAGAGCCGAGACAGCCCTGTCTGACCGAGAAGCTTGGTTGGCAGTTCTGCCTGATTTGGGGTCCCAGACAATGGGCCGTATGAGCTGTGGAGCCTGTTTTACCGCTCCAGCCCTGCCCTGGCAGTGAGGAAAATTTGCAGCCCCACTGAACTGCCCAGGATACCCTCCTGTCCCACCCAACCAGGAAAACCCAGGCAGCTACAGAGCCATCCAACAGCCACCTTTGAGTAGAGAGCCAAGCCAACAGCTCTGCCCGGATGTTGAGCATAGACTCTAGCCCTGCATAGCCAGGGAGCCTGAGTAATGACCCTTGGCAGCCTCAGAGCACAGCCAGTAACCCCACTAAATCACAGAACATAGCCTGCAGCCCCACCAGACCAGGGACCCAGACAGTGATCCCTGCCATCTTCAGAGAAAAATCTCCAGCCTCACTCAACTGCAGGATACAACTCGAGGCCCTGTATGGCCATAAAGCTTGGCCAGTGACCTTGGCCAACAGCAGAACATAGCTAGTGGCCTACCTGATTACAAACCCCAGTCCGTGGTCCTGCTTAATCGTGGAGTCCAACCAATGACACTTCCCTGCCAGAGAATACAGCATTTCACCTTGCCTAATCAGAGGTGATTGTAGAGGCCAGCTAGCAGCCCTACCTGATTGTAGAGCACAACCAGAAGCTCTTTTTGACGAGACAGCCCACTCAGTAACCCTACTTGAAAGCAGAGCCCAACCAGCAGACCCACCCAACTGCAGGCCCAGCCACTAGCACCTCCCT